AGTCAGACAAGGGGAGGAGTGCAGAAGCCCCCAGGGAGCCAATGTGGCAGGGACTTGAGGCCACTGTTGATATTTGGGTTTTGTGGGGTTTTTTTTAGACAGGGTCTTTCTCTGTCACCCAGGTTGGGGTGCAGTAGCACAATCATAGTTCACTGCAGCCTCAATGTCCTGGACTCAAGTGATCTTCCTGTCTCAGCCTCCCAAGTGGTGGCTACAGGTATATACTACCACACCCAGCTAATTTCTTTTTCTTTTTGTTTCTTTTTTTAGAGACAAGGTCTCACTCTGGCACCCAGGCTGGCATGCAGTGACACCATCATGGCTCACTGCATACTTGACCTCCTGGGCTCAAGTGATCCTTCCACCTCAGTCTCTCAAGGAGCTACTTCTTTAAATGTTTTTGTAGAGATGGAGTCTCACTATGTTGCCCAAGGCTGGTCTCAAACTCCTAGCCTCAAGTGATCCTCTTGCCTCAACCTCCCAGAGTGCTGGGATTGTGAGTGTGAGCCACCACGCCTAGCCTCTGGGCTTTTACACTGGATAGAATGGAAGCCATTGGATGGTGTTGAGCAAAATAATGACATGCTCTGATGTATGTCCCAAAAGGTTCACTCTGGCCCTTTCCTTCAGGCGTGAAGGAAAGCAGGGAGGCCTGTTGGGAAGCTGCTGTGGGATCCACAGCGGAGAGGCTAGGGGCCCAGACCAGGAGAAGATGGGAGACGGCCCTGACGGATTGGAGGTGGGATGTGGGATGTGGGAGGAAGAAGGCAGTTGGATGACTCCCAGGAATTTGCCCTGAACACCCAGGAAGATGGGGGCCGTGACTCAGCAGGGTCCAGCCATGGGGAGACCAGGGCTGCAGGCAGGTGGCCAGGAATTCACACAGGCCATCGAATAAGCAAGACCAGGGTTCAGGGGAGTGGCCAAGTGGAGCCGTACGGGGAGTCTGCAGCGTAGTGACAGAGTTCAGAGTCAGGAGAGGGGTGGAAATCCGAGGCACTTTGTGGGGATGGAACAGACGTTCAAAGTCCGAGCCTGGGCGGCCACCAAAGCCAGAGACCAAGGAGACCATCAGGAAGCAGCTGAGGGGACCGAGAAGCAGCGGCTGGAAAAGGGGGAAGAGAAGCCAGAGAGCATGGGGTCCTGGGAACCCAGGAAGATCACAAGAAGGGCCTGTCACTCCCATAGGACACACACCACCAGATGTAGCCACCGCGGGGCTCACAACAAACTTGGCAGGAGCAAGAATGGCTTCCGGGGCACGGAGAGGAAGGAGGCGAATGAATTGGTTTATGAGCCAGAAGGAGGGGAGGCACTGCAGAGAAGTAAGGACAGCCTTTGAGGAATTTTCCTATGAATGGAAGGAGAGAATCAGGCAGCAGTGGACAAGGAAGAGGTCCAAGAAACTGCTTTTGTGTTTCTTTTGAGATGGGAGAAATAATTCCCACATGCAGATGGCGATGCTCCATGAGGGAGGAACGGGCTGTACCCTTGAGGGGGCATGGTACTCGGGGCTTCTGCACGGCCATGAACGCTGCAGCACCAATCCACCCAGTAGCCACAGGAGGGAGAGTAGAGAGCTGAGGCTGATGCATGGGCCTAGGGAAGTTGGCTTCTGGCTGCTGCTATTTTCCAGTGAAACAGGAATCGGCAAGGCCAGAACAGAAAGTGAAGTAGGAGGGAAGGGGCTGGAACGCTGCACCAAAATGGGAGGGAGAATGGCCTAACGCAGGTGTCTGCAGGCTTTTCTGTAAAGAGCCAGATTGCAAATATGTCAGGCTTTACGAGCCAGGCAGGCTCTGTTGCAACCACTCAACCCTGCCATTTGTGGCTCAGAAGCAGCCTCAGACAATCGTAAGCAAATGGACATGGAAGTGTTCCAATAAAACTTTATTGACAAAAAGAGCTGGCAGGCTGGACGCAGCCTGCAGGCTGGAGTTCCGCGACTCCTAGTCAAGGGCCTCACCTCCAGTCCAGGTGTTCTCCAAGTGTGGCCCCTGGGCCAGCATCAGCATCACCTGGAAATTATCAGAAATGCAAATTCTTGGACCTCATCCAAGTCTGTGGAACCAGAGACTCTTGGTCCCTTCACTGTTTCAAATGCAAGTTGAGTTTGTGATTCTAGAACTCTGGCAGTTAAGCACCTCTGAATGTCATCACTTGGCAGCTAGACCCAGGGAAAGCCAACGAGGAGAAAGTGGGATATGGAGTGGGCCACACACCCCATTAGAGGCACAGGCATCCCGGCCCCACCTTTCTTGGAGCCTCTGTAAGGACCTCCTGCCTCCCACTGTCCCCTGTGGTCTGTGGGCCATGTTTTTTATATAATTCTGTGGGGGTCTCCCCGGGGACAGGCCCTAGTGACAGCTCTGCTCCCAGTAGGCCTGTGCCAGGCACTCCGTCGCACCCTCCACTCTGTGGTCCCTCAGCCGCTGGGTATGCCTCCATGAAGAGGACCCAGTGTCACTCTTTCGGACAGCCTCCAGCAGTGGCACAGGGTGGGGCCTCAGCTAGCACTGTGTGTGTGAAGGAAGGCCTGGTCCTCTGACTGAAAGCACAACATCGTTGGGAGTTTAGCAACAGCTTTCTGAGGATTTTATTGAGAAGATTTGATCTCCTGCCTCTGAGTCACCTAGAAGCAACATGCTTGAGCAGCTAATGGGCTCAAGAAGAGACCACCCTTGAGGGCCCCCAGCCCCCAGTGCTGCAGGGTCTCAACTGCTCCCATACCAAGTAACCAACCATGATCCTCAGGAGAGACGCTCAAATACATTCCTGCCAGCCAGGAGCCCAGAAGTGCGTGTCCCTTGGCAACCTAGGGCATGCTATGCATCCTGCCCGTGAGCAGGTAAGACGTGTCTTGCATGGACCTGGGCAGATGGGAATCTCTGAGTGTCAGTGATCCTGAAGGAGCCACCAGAAGGGGTGGTCAGGAAGACCTGCAATGCCAACCCCCCTACCAGGGTCCATCTTCCAGTCAGGAGTAGCATGACAGGAGCATGTCGAGGGCCCGAGGGGGAGGGGTTTGCTGGAGTCACCACCCCATGGCTCCCGAGGAATCCACCTGGTAAGCCAGGAAACCAGCGTGAACGTCAACCACACTTCTGCTACATCTGCTACATAAGTGCATGTTGATTTCGAGTTATTCCTTTCTGAATGTGGTTCTTTAAGAATAAAGCCCTAGAGGACCCTAGCCAACCCCCACGGTATCTGCTAGGTTATCCCAGTGGGATAGAAGACAGAATCTTCACTGTGTCTTCTATCCCCACACACACTCACACCCCTTGCCCAGAGACTTCCAGTGTTAGCAGGACCTAAACCTGCACTGTGTGGACTCCAGGTGGAGGGTGATCTGAGGAAGCTCGGTGACAGGAGATGACTGTTCTGGGAAAGGAGCGAAACCCTCCAAATCCGCCGCTGGGCTGAGCATCTGGTTAACCACCCACATCACGGGCTGTGGTGGATGGGCGGGGCTGTGTTGTAAGCCGGGACCATCCCTTCACCCATGGGTACAGAACCACATGATTTCAGATCAGGGCACCTTTGCCCTCTCAGGAGCCAGGCCCTGTCTAGGCACCCGGGGCACAGAAGCAAGTGAGACCCGCAAAACCCCTACCCTCATGGGGCATGCCCTACTGAGGGAGCCAGAACACGACAGACCTATATGCAGACAGTGAGGGAAGCTGATATGGGCCGAGGAGCTGGGAGGGGACCCTGAGTGCCCCAGTTGGGACAGGCTTATGAAGGGGGACTGGGGCTGAGAAGGGCGGTGGTAAGGGTGTGGCAGACAGAAGGAGGCGCATGTGCAAAGGCCCTGTGGAGGTCGTGAGCTTGGCCTGTTGGAAAAGGCTGCGAGGCCAGGAGGGGAAGGAAGAGGCTGGGACCAGATTCGCTTTTGGAGCATAAGCCCCCACTGCTGGGTGGAACAAGGAGTATGGGACTGAGAGGGAGCGGGGGAGCCTCTGGATGGGGCCCCAGGGTGGCAGCGGGGGAAGTGGACAGGGGGCTGGACTTTGGCAGTTGTGCACATGCTCTATCCCTCTGTAACAAACTCCCCCAAACCCAGCGGCTGTCGGCAGCCCTGTGTCTTATCTCCTGGTGTCTGTGGGTCAGACGTTGAGGCAGGGCTGCAGGGTCTGCCGCCTCAGGACCCCAAGCTGCAGTTGAGGTGCCGGTCTGGGCCGGGCCCCCCTCGGGCACTTGGGAAGGATCTGCTTCTAGGCTCCCTGGTGGTTGAAAGGACCCCCTGCTTCGGGCTTTTGGGCTGAGGGCTCAGCTCTTCTCTGGCATGGGCCAGAGGCTGTCCCCAGTTCCTCCCATGTGACAACAATATGGTGAATATGGGCCTGTCCAGCACAGCAGCTTACCTCATCAGAGCCAGCGAGGGAGGGTCTACTGGCAAGAAAGAAGCCACACTCTGTCTCCTAATCCCGTCACCTTTGCCATATTCTGTTGGGTTAGAAGTGAGTTGCTGGGTCCAGCCCACAATCAAGGGGAGGGGACTACACGAGGGCAGGAGTGCCAGGAGCCGGGGTCGCTGGGCCATCAGACAAGCAGCCTCAGAAGCTCAGCAGCAGCACCGGGAAGCTGGCTGGGCTGGAGTCAGGGGCAAGAATGACCCTGAGGGACCACAAAGCCACTTCCTGGGAGGGGAAGATGGGCAGGAGCTCACTAAGTGTACAGATGCCCTCTGGGGCCATCTCTTCTGCACAGTGTGGGTGATGGAAACCTCCCGGGTTTCAGCAAAGCTGGGAGCTACGGAAGGACCCATGGCGCATCGGGCAGGCGTGTGCAGTGATGGTGGAAATGGTCACCTGGTCACCAGCCCCGTCGGGGCCCCGGGGGCCTGCCTACCTGCCTGTCTGTCGGATGAGGGACTCACCAATGCTTTGTGAACTCAGACAGCTTTCCAGGCTTTCAGGACCTCGGGGCCTCCTGGCCAGGCCTGGTTGATCTTTTATAATTACCACCCTTCCCTCCCCTACTGTGCTCTCTTCTAGAACTTTCCCTCCGTGAAGGATCGAGCAGGTCTGGACGAGTGAGGCTGGCTCCATGTATCCAGAGTCAACGACGGGCTCCCCAGCTCGGCTCTCCCTGCGGCAGACGGGCTCCCCTGGGATGATCTACAGGTGACCCCACCCCACCCACACCCAGGCCTGCCCCGGGGGAGGGGTCTCCAGGAGGGGCCCACAGACTTCCGCCCTTTAAAGAGTTGTGAGGAGCACACCCGTGAGAATTTCTCCAAGAGAAGAACGGAAGCTTTTACAAAGCAAAGTGGGAGGAGGGGAGGAGAAAAGCTTTTCCGGGGGCTTGAACCAGAACAGACTCTTTTCCTGTCCCTGACCCTTCTGAAATATTTCGTTTTGGGGTAGCAGACAGGCCCGACGTGAGTGCAGGGTCCCACCCGGCATTCTGTTGCTTGAATTTCACATGTAGAAGGGGCCCCTGTGGCCCCACCCGCTCCCCCAGCGCCCTGAGCGAGGCTCACAGTCTCACAGGCCTGTGGAGAACCGCGTCTGCCCACTTTCCAATGCCCGGAGGGGTGGGGGCGGCCAGGCTCCTTCGCGTCCTCCCATGGGTATTTCTGCCTGCACCACAGTCAGCGCTGAACAGCAGCATGGCCCGTGCAGGGCGTTCAGTAAGAGCTGAGGCTCCAGGATGGGACCCAGAACGCAGGAACAACCCGGCATGGGCGGGACCCCAACAGCCTGTTGGTCCCTGGGCAGCCGGACCTTTCTAGATCACTGTTAGGGCCCGAGCCAGAGCCAGTGTCTGTGGAAGCCACAGGAAAGGCGCATATCTGTCCTGACAAGAGCCACTATGCACGTGCAGATTTGCAGCAGGTGGGCTCCCAGCCTGCTGGATCTGAGGGTCTTCAGCCATTGTCCTTGGCATGTCACAGAGCACGTTCTAAAGCATGTTAGGGGCCAAAGAGACTCTCACCCAGGGGTTTACTGTGGGAACTAAGACCAGGCTGGGAGGGCCCCCCAGTTTCCACCCGGAGCAGCGCTGGGCTCTGCCTCTGTGTCCACCGGGTGGCGCTGCTGCAGAGCATTTGGTACCCGCCGCGTCCTCGGAGGCCGCCCTGAGTCGGCAGCGGGCAGGGGCCTCGGGCTGCGGGATGGCGACATGGGCTCCCGGGGTTGATGCCAATTGTGGACTGTCTCTCTTCTCTCCCCCTCTTTTTCTCTTTCCTCCATTGCTGTCCGAAGTACTCGATATGGGAGTCCCAAAAGACAGCTCCAGTTTTACAGGTAATGAGTCTTCGTTCTCCCTAAAACCTGGCCAGCTGAAGGCCGAGGCGTGGGTGGGAGGACCGTCCCCATCCCGAGCAGGGGGTGCTGGTGTTTCCTCTGGCAAGCCTGGCTCTGCCCAGCCCTATGCCTGCACACAGAGTGCCATGCAACAACCCGATGGGAAATGTGAAGTCAGGTCGATCGTGTGTTCATCTGCTAGAAGTTTGCTTTGATTTGGACAATTGGACGTCTGATACCTGCTTAGCTCTCAGCTGAATCCTCCATGAAAGCGTAGCTCGTCGGGCGGTGGGGGGGATGCCTTCCTGTTGGCTGCGCCGCTTCTGTCACCAGTAAAGGACCGTGTGGTGAGCCTATTGTCCCCCTTTGCCTGTGGGTTTGAGCTGATTTGGAACCAACAGAGCTTTCAGGTCCGTCGAAGACTAATGCCACCTTGGGGGTGTGAAGTACTGATGTGACTTGGATCAGGGTCGGGGTGAACTCAGCAATAGCTTTCTGATGACTTTTCCTGTTGGTGAATTAGCAAACTGGGTGTTTGCCTGGCAAGAGACCATTCCCCGGACACAGCATCAAGAGGCCCTGGCTTCCAGCCACCAGGGTGCTCTCGGACAAGGCTGTTCCTCCCTCGCGGCCACCTCTCTCTCACCTATAAAGTAGGGGTGCCCTTCTCAGCCGCCACTCTAGGAAGCACAGTGTCGGGGCTGCCCAGCACCCGCAGGTCAGCAGGCTCCCCGTCCTTGGGTCTGTGGGGGAATTGGTTGTGGCTGTTGGTGGCAGGTCCCTGGTATGGGCTGCTGCATCATGGCACTCAGGCTGGGGGTCGCTCTATTGGGAACCACCGCCCACTGTCACGCACACCCATGGGTGGCTGCGCTCTGGGCACTTATTGCCGTGTACCAGGACTCCCAAGGTGTGTGTGCGGGTGGGGCTGATTTCCACGTGGCCTCTCCCTCCCCACAGCCTGGGTACCTCTGATGGTGACCCTGGGCCTGGGTGCAAAGGCTCCTCTGGCACTGCTCAGTGCCCACAAGGTTTCCTCTTTGCGAGGAGCTTGAAGCCATACTTGAAGCTTCTTCCACTCTTGGATTCCACTGAAATTTTGGTTAAATAAGATATTGCCTGAAATAGTTAAATCTGCAAATGCTCTTTCTGGATAGAGTGTTTGTATCATGTTGTGTGCTGTGTGATGTAATGAGTCCTAATGAATATAAGGCGCTCGTCCCAGAGGATTTGACCCGTGAAACACACTTGTCCTGAGCTGTGTTCTCAGAGAGCCCGGGGTGCCTCAGTCCTTGAAGAGAAGGGGTGAGGGCAGATGGGCAGGCAGAAAATTCCCAAGTGCAGACAGACCAGCCAGCCCAAAGGGCCTGACCTCCAGGAGGGGCCGAGGAAGTGTGCCATATCACTGAGTTGAGTGAGTCTTCCACCCCACTCATGGCCCTTGGAACCCCACAGTTTCAACCCATTGTCCACCCCTTGGGAGCCCTCTAAATTAAAGCTGTCACCCCCAGGAACCTTCTCTGCCCCAAGGGCAAGCTCTGAAGACCTCCCTCTGGACCTCTCAGCTCCACATCCCGATGTCCACAGATTCTGGCCATCTTGCCCTTTTACTCTCCCGTGGGGTTTCTCCATGTAGACACTCGAGTGTCTATTGTAGAGCCTTTGGTATGATCATGAGGGGATGGGATCTTTGTTCACAGACTGGGGACTCCTCCCAGTGGGACACCCTCATCACACAGGCACTAAACATGATTGCCGGTGGTTGTTTAAGTTATTTAAGCCTGACCCTCTAACAGGGCAGAGGTGCTCAAGGCATGTGTCCTGCCCAGGGCTGCTCCCAGAAAGAGAAAGGAGGTAGACACTGTATCAGTCAGCTGATCCCCAAATGCTGCATAACAAACAGCACCAGAACTAAACTCATTGTCATGTAACCATGAGCATTTCTTTCTTGCCTCTGCATCTGTGGGTTGGCTGGAGTCAGCCGATCTAGACTGGGCTTGGCTGCGTCTGTCTCCAGGCTGGTTAGGTCTAGGAGTTCTCCATTCTCCTGTCCTTAACCAGGGCCTGTCTCATATGCATTCTTCCCATGGCAGCAGTGCTGGAGGAAAGGTCCGTGGTTGGGGCTGGAACACTGTCACCTCAGCTACATGCCCTTGGCCAGAGCAAGTCTCACCAACAAACCCAAAGTCAAAGGGCAAGGAAATTTATCCCCCCAGCAGCAGGAAAAACAAAGGCACATGGCAAAGGTTACAGGGACAGAGAAGGGTGAAGGATTGGGAGCAATAATGCAATCCACCCCAAAACCTGAGTACTTCTTATGGCATTTAAAAGGCAGAGCATGTCCTAGGAGAAGCCCAGAGAGCCTTGGGGGTTCTGAGGAGGGAGTGGACCAGGGAGAGAGCCAGGAAGGCTTCATAGAGAAGACAGTGCAGGGCTTGGACCTTGCACCTTAAAGACTGGGAAGAACATTCCAATGGATGTGACAGCCCAAGCTGCACCTTGAGGGTGTGCACAGAGAACAAAAAGTGGTGGTTACCAGACGGGGCCACCAGCGTTGTGATGGAGAGTCACGAGAAGCCGGACTGTAGAAGTGGGCTGGGGTCAGGTTGGGGGCCTTGAATGCCAAGTAAGGGGTGTGGATACATTTGGGGGACACTGGGGAGCCATGTGTGGTGTTTGAGCAGGGCAGGGGTCAGAGCTCTGCTGCAGGAAGGAAGCCTATTAACAGGGAGTAAGATAGGGAAAAGGGAGGCTGATACGGAGAGGCCAGATCATGCCCAGGAGAGGTGAAGAGACCTGACCTACATGGACAGCAGGGAGAGAAGGAAGGCTGGGGCTTGAGAGAAGGATGGCAGGTGCCCTCTCCATTGGGACTTGGCCACTGATGGGCGGGCGCTGAGAGGGACAGAGAAGAGCAGCAGCCGGGGAAGGAGAGGAGCCTCACTCAGGGTGGACTGCCGACTGCCACCCAGCCAGGGGCACAGGGCCACCAAAACCAGGGTGACCAGTGGACCCGTGAGGAGCTGCCAGAGTGGGCTTGGTCCTCGGGGAAAGCCATCCCAGGTCATCGCTGGGGCCTTCGCGGCTGGTAACACTCACCAGCCTCCTGCACCTCCTACCCCGCGGCCAGGGCACACATTTGCTATCCCCAGTCTGCACCCCAGTGGCAGCCGCCACTGTTTGTTCATGTGTCATGGGAGAGAGAGCACTACCTCCATCCCAAGTGCCCCATGCATTGGTGACTTTCTTAGCTGGAAGGTGCTGTCATGCTGGGATGATACACAGTGCCCCAGGGGTCGTGACCCGGGGGCCCCAGGTCAGCACTTCGTCCCAGCCCAGAGCTCAGCCTCGGTTGGGGCAGTCTCAGAGCACTTCCCCAAGCCAGGTCAGGATGTGGGCCTTAAGGAGGGGCTCCTGTGCCCCTGCCTGGGGGAGTGGCAGTGTGGTGTCCAAGCAGCTGACTTCTGGAACCTTCCTGCCGTGGATAGGTACTGGCAGTATAGGACCTGCAGTCTGGGGTACATCCTGGTGCTGAGGGGAGGCCTCTCCAGACCCCCCTGGCCGCGGGTGGCGGTCAAGCCCCCAGCTCCCCGCTGCGGACTCAGTTCAGAATTAGGTAGGGCGCAATAGCTGCTGTGTCCCACATCCACATAACCCCTGTCTCCCTGTGGCTCCGAGGGTTCGTGTCTCTGGCATGTGAGGACGGACAAGGCGGCGAGGGTGGGTGTGAGGGAAGGATAGGACCCCCCACCGAGGGCTGCACCCCAACTGGGTGCCAGGATCGGCCTCGCCAGATTGCGCCACAGAGCTGGCTTCCCAGGCTTTTAGGAGAAGAGGCGCTCGTGAATAATTCAGCCTCTTGTGCTGAGATGAAAACGCCCTAATAGAGCTAATGGACTCGCTGCCTCAAAACCTGACCCTGGTGGGACTTATCTCGCTCACCGATTGCTTCTGACGTCCTGCAGTGACACTCCCTAATGAACAAGCCTCCACACCAGATCCTTAGAGCGTCTGGTGATCCCTAATAAACTAGACGGCGGCCTTTTAGTGCACAGACGCCCACGAAGGCAGGTGAGTTCTCCCTTCAGCCCTTGGAATGGACCTTGCAGCCACCTTTTTAGGGAGGTTGCTGCTCAGGGACAGGTGTCACCGGGAACTAAAATAACAGAGGGGTTGATATTTGGGGATACTTTTGACTGATCTGAAATTAGACCCTCCGCATTTTTTTAAAGCAGAAAACCTTGGAGAAGAGCTGGTCCTCGGTAAACCTGGGATGACCGTGGTGGGTGGGTGGGAAGCGGGTCTCTGCCTGGCAGCACTGCGCGGACAGGGGTGCTTCCTGCTCAAGCCCGCTGGCCTCCCCGTCCCACCCCAGGCTGGCTGCTTTCCTGTCTGCCAGAGACACGTTCTCCCAGCTCCTACCTTGTGTACACCACTGATTGCTATTCGGCATTTTTGAGTCTCGCCACTAGCGCGGTCAAGGAGGTTTGGTTGCTGTCTGAAAAGCCTGTCCAGGAAGTGCACGCTGAGATCCAGGGGCTGCTTGTCTGGACCGTGGTTTGCTGATTGTCCTTGAGTGAAGATGGTCTTATGTTTGCGCTGATCCGATGCCCTGCATTAGAGCCACACCTGGGGTGGTGGCAGCTCCCCTCCACTCCTGCTTGCAAGAACTTTGGCCAGTCCCTCTGCTGTGTAGACAGATGTCATCGCTTGGAAGAGATGCCAGATTCCTTCTCCTCTCACAATTTATGCCTTGTTGGCATGCAGTAAACAGACCGCAACTCAGAACTTCCAGGTGGAAGGCTCTTTAGGGAGGGCGTGACTCCCATGGACTTAATGAGGTTAATGTCTTCGTTTCATTTTTCCATGTCACAGTGTTAATTCACGTGAATTCCCCCGAGGCCCCCGTCTACAAGAATAGACTTGCAGCAGGCAGGCCCCAGCCCAGGAAAGAGACTGTAGGCGCCTCATAATTAGCAATGGCTGTTGAGGAGAGGGCTCGTTTTTCTTGGTACCAACATGGTGGGGAGTGCCAGGGCTCAGAGAACCTCCCTGTGGAAAGCAGCTGGGGTCTGGGATATTTCGAATCAGAGGTCAGGGGTCACGTGCTTCTGAACGCAGGGAGCAGGAGACCCGAGGCAGGAGCCCAGCGGTGGGCCTCCCCTTGCTCCTCCCTGGCGATGTCCTGTCTGGGGCCATCCAGGGACCTGACTCTGCTAGAGCCACCTTCCAAAACACATGGAAAAGAGCCTCAACTGGAGGGAGTTCGGGGTGGGGCTGGCCTCTGTCCTCTGCCCCCGGACAGTCTCGGGCAGAGCTGACAGCCATGGCACGTGCCCATCCTTCCTCCACAGGGAAAGTCTTCCCAGGCCTTCCCAGAGTCACAGGGGGCCCTCCTTGCCTCAGACCCCTCGTGGCACCTCACCTTTCCACCCTGTGCCAGGGACTGCCATGCCTACCCACCCCCCACTTCGGCCTGAGCCCTGCACCACAGGGACACACTCGAGGCAGGAGGCTCTGGACCCCTCCGTGCTGTGGGGTCTCGCGTACAGGCCAGCTCCCAGGGCCATGAGATGCGCTATAAAGGAGGATCCCAAGCAGGAAGACTGCAGCCCCACAGAGGGACACCCTGTAAGTCCTGGCCACACGGCTGAGAGCTCACCAAGGCCTTTCTCTCCTTTCCCAGCTAGACGTCCCGGCCCCACCCTCCACCTGACTTGCCGGGAATGTGTGTGTTCTCTGCTAGAAGGGGGTGATATCAGCTTCTCTTTGGATCCTGTTCAGCACCTTCCAATGGGGTTTGGTATCCGTGGGCCTGGCTTGTCTCTCAAGCCAGTGGTCACAGAGCCCCTCTCAGAGAATCACTCTAGAGGCAGTAGAGGGGCCCGAATTCCTGGAGGGGGTTCATCCTAGGAAGTGGGAGCCTAGACGCTCCAGGCAGCAGTACCAGCTCTGCCTGCCAACCTCTGGCTGTGGATTTTTCTCTCTACGGCATTTATCATGACTGGTGTCATGTCCCATGTCCCCCATGCAGTAGACTCCCAGTTGTGTTACCAGCTCCTGCCCATTTGCCCAAAGGCTAGTCCCACACAGCCCTCGGCATCCTGGTGCAACAGGCAACCTCTGCCAGCCCATTTCACAGACATGGAGACCGAGGCTGGGAGCAGCCACAATGTCTGCCTGGGTCGTACCATGAGAAGGTAACAAACAGAGGTGCCCCCGTCTATACCCTGGGCACTCAGCCTGTCTTCCCACCCCTGGGGCCTTGACTGCATTTCCAGAGCCAAAGCAGGCCCAGACCGCTTCTTGCGGGTAATGTCTTGAAAGCTAATGGCTATTGATCTTGGCCTGGATGGGTCTGGTGGGGAGCGTGCATGTCTGAGCTGGGTCCTGTTTTTCGGGAAGAGCCCAGCAGCTGTAACCTGTCCACTGGCCTCTCTGAAAACAGGCCCCAGGGGAGCAAGGGCTGGCTTCCATTCACCCGCACAGCCACCTCAGAGGCAGAGGCCTGCCTCGAACTTGGAGAGAGGGGAATGGTGGGTCCACAGGCAGGGAGGGGAGCTGGTGCTGCTGCCTGTGGGTGTCTGGGGGCCCACTTCCTAAGCTGAACCCCGTCCAGGAATCTAGGCCCCTCGACTGCCTCCAGCGTGATTCTCCTGGAAGGCGGGGCTTTTTGTGCCAGGGATATCCCTGCCACTTATTGTCCAGAGGCCCTGCAGTCCTCCAGCCCCCCACCCCCAGATATGAACAGTGGTGAGTGCAAGTCCTGACATGTGAACCCCCACCAAGAAAGGGCACCCTGCAGGAAGCCCCTGGGCCTGAGTCAGGGTTCAGCCCAGCCCCAGCCACTAACTGGCTAGGCATGTTAAGGAAACGCCCAGGTACTGACCCTGGTCAGCCTTTGGAAGCCCAGGCCGTGGTTGCTTTTCTGTATCTGAGCCCCTCCTCCAAGCATGAGGGGCACTTCTGTGGACACTGGGCAGGTGGATGTGGCAGCAGGCAGAAGGGTCCCTGCCCTCCTGAACCTTACTTCAGGGGGGTAGACACAACGTAAGACGGAACAGCACCTGCCTGGCAGATGATGATAAGTGCCCTGGGGAAAGACCCAGTGGGAAGGAGGCAGGGACATGTGGGTGGGGCGGAGGGTCTGTGGGAAATGCAGGAGCCCCCAGGTCTGTGGTCATAAGACAAGGTGCTGGCTGTGAGTGACAGGCTCAACAGCCTGCCCTGAGGAGACGTTGGATGCCTGGCCTGCAGGGCCAGAGCCTGTGTGGATGCTGCTCCCCATCTCCCTGCTGGGTCCTCGGGCTCTCCTTGCCCACTGCTCTCTCTTGAGTTCGGATCCCAGTTTCCCTACCTTATTGAGAGAATTGCGGTTCCCTCAACCAACATTCGCATGGGCGTGATGGGACAGATACAAGTGACAGTCCCTGCAAGTGAGATAAAGACGATACTTGCAGGGAAACTCCCTGAAGGGGCAGCCAAGGGGCTCTTGGAGGGACCCCTCTCTGGCGCACATGGCCAAGCAGTTACAGGTCAGCCAGGCTGGTCACCCATCCCAGAGGAAGGACTCTGGCACACAGGGTGCATCTCAAACCCCATGCCCCCCATGGGTCCTTCCTCTGGCCCCTGAAGAAGCCAAACAGGCAGCCCATTGCAGTCACCCAAGGATGCAGTCAACCCAGGGTGACTCCAGGGAAACTCTACCCCCCTCAGGGCCATGCCAGAGCCTCTGCAGCTGCCTCAGCTTCTGGAACAGCCCTCAACTCCTTCCTAGGGATACTCGAACTTGCTCTCTCTTGGGGCAGAAGGCAGGAACAGTACTGGCTCCCTCCCAGCTCTAGGCAGCACCAGGGTCCCACACTACAGCGGACCGAGCTGAAATGGTGGCTTCCCATCTGTACCTTCTCTCCCTGGTGAGGATGCCAGGACCGCTGTGCAGGCCTCTGGGCTGAGACAGAGGCTTTGGTCAGATGGGTGGCAGTCGCTGGGTTGCAAACCTCCTGCCCCAGGCCTGTCACCGTGTCCTTGCTGCCCATCCACAGATCCCACGGAATGGGGTCTCACAGTCTGATGTCTCCCTCACTGATGCGCTCACTCTTGTGTGCGTGAATTAACACCAGTGGACACACGCTTCTCCTCTGGCCTTTTTTTTAATTGGCCACTATCTCTTAGGGCTCATGCATGTCACTCCACGTTGAGATGCCTCATTCTTGATGGCAGCAGAGTCCCACCCTATGGATGGACTGTCATTTATGTAACCAGTTTCCCTGTAAGGGACATTCATATTGCTGTTAGCTTCCAAGAGTGTGTGCTCATCATTCAGGATGACTCTAGCCATGACTCTCGCCACAGAAACTTGGAATCACCCAGTCCTGTCTAGGCCTGTTTCCCACCATCTGCCCCCACCACCTTCAGTGCATTCTGCTTAGTCTTCCTACTGCAAAAAGCTTTAAGCCCCAGTCTCTGCTGGTGCTGCTGTGCTTTTGACACTCAAAGCATGTGTAGTGTAGATAACACTTCCCTTTACAAGGCTGTGAACAAGTTGGGCCCTTCTGGGGCAGGGCCCCTGGCATGTGAGGGACAGGTGTCCCGCTGGCATCACACTAGAGTTTGCTTCAGTGACAGCTATGCCTTGTGCTTCCCCAGGGACGGCCCTTCACATGGTCTTGCCCTGGGGACCACTTCAAGAGAGCCCCATGATGTGGCCCCACGGTCGTCCTGGGACAGCAGTGCTGGTCGTCAGCGTGAGGGGTCCGGGCTGTGCATGCTGTCTGCACTCCTTTCCATTGAGAGCACTCTGGAGCGCGGCTCCCCTGCCCAGAATGCAGCCTTGCCTGTGCTTGTCTCAGGGGCGCCGGGGACAGAGGAGAGCAGCTTAGCCAGAGTTCCCAATGGTGTCGCTTTGAGGACTGGGGGGCTCACGTCAAGAGGTGTTCCCCTCCAGGGCCAGGTCTCATTCCCAGGCACCAAGACCCTGTGGTGGTGGCTCTGGTTGGAGGGTGTTTTGCTCAGCCACCCCCTACCCTGGGCCTGCCGTCCAGCCTGGGGTGCAGGGTGGGGGGAGGCCTCGCACACTCTCTAACCCATCCCCGTCCGGACAGTGGCAGCTCCTGGGTGCAGCGGCACCATGTTGTCCATGACGTACAGTGAGAGTCTGCGGAGCGTGAGCGGCAGGTGCCACTCTGACTGGGCCCTGCACCCCGTCCGCCAGACCGGCACGCTGGAACTGCTGCGGCTGCGGGAGGTGCGGGTGGCCGCCCAGGCCAGGAACATGGAGAGCTTCCTCCGCATGCACGGCCTCTCCCTGGACGGCTGCACCGCCCGGCGCACGGGCATGAAATATCGGTAAGGGCCGGGCAGGGAAAGGGTGGGAGGTCAGTTCCAACCACATCAAAACGTGTAGCAAAAGAAAAAAAAGGCAATGGCTCATGCCTGTCATCCCAGCACTTTGGGAGATGGAAGCAAGAGGATTGCCCGAGTTCAGAGGTTCAAGATCAGCCTGGGCAACTTAGCAAGACCTCATCTAACAATAAATCAACAAATTAGCGAGGTATGGTGGCCCGCACCTGTGGTTCCAGCTACCTGGAAGACTGAGGCGAAAGGATCACCTGAGCCCAGCAGGTCGAGGCTGCGGTGGCTGTGAGCAACATGCCCCTGCCTTCCAGCCTGGGTGACAGAGTGAGACTCCTACTCAAAAAAAAAAAAAAATTGACTGTAGACCTATCCTAGTCAAAGATAAGCACCATTCAGAGTTTGATATTTTCTCCAAAGAAAGAATGTCATTTCTGGGGGGGGAAGGGTTACAAAAGGAGTAGATGTGCTGTTTCATTCGTCTCTTACAACTTCATTAGGACAGATCAGTAATCAGGAGTTGACGAAGCGTGAATTAGTAAAGATCCCTCAGTCACCACCTCCAGCAACAAATCCATTCTGGCAGCAGAAACCCGGGTTGCATTCTGGGGACAGGCAAGTGCCCTGCTCCTTTATGGCCCTAGCCAGGCTATCCTGATGGGAATTGGGTTTAGCAGGTGGCCCGTGCATGGGCCACGTCACACTGTAACCGTGAGAGTAAAGGCTGGAGACTAGACGTCTCATGTGTCCTCCACATGGCAGGCATGCGGGTCTAAATGTCTTAGAACCTCAGAAGGAAATATGTCATTGACTTCAGCACCGGGGACAGCGCCCACTGGCTGTCTTTCTCCTCTGAAACCCCTGGAAAGTGATCCTGGAGTGCTTCTGGTTATAAATCCCTACACATTGCAGACATGCTGCTTTATTTCCTGTGCCTCTGAGGAACAAGCCCTTGTCAGAACCAGTTGGCTAAAGGGGATCCTCTCTACCCAGTCCTTGTAGAGTTGCCAAATGTCGCAAATGTAAATGCAGGATGTCCAGTTCAGTTAGAGTTTCAGATAAACCAGGAATAACTTGTTTGTATAAATATGTCCCATGTGATATTTGGGACATGCTGGTATTAGTAAGTTACTCATGGTTTATCTGAAGTTCACATTTAACTGGGTGTCCTGTATTTTACCTGGCAACACTAAACCTTGGCTTATATCTGAGACAGGCCCCAGGGGTTACCTGGCTGCTCTGGAGGGGAGAGTGGAGGCCAGAACTGTTTCATGAATATTTTCTCCTGTGGACAACGTGCCTGGTCTTTCAGCCCATTATTTGAGCATGTGGCCATAGTTTAAAGAAACAAGATAGCTGGGCATGGTGGCCCAGCCTGTAATCCCAGTACTTTGGGAGGCCGAGGCAAGAAAATTGCCTGAGCCCAGGGGTTCGAGACCAGCCTGGGCAACTTGGTGAGACCTTGTCTCTACGATAAGCCACAAAATAGCCGTGCATGGTGGCATGCGTCTGTAGTTCCAGCTACTTGGAAGGTTGAGGCAAAAGGATCACCTAAGCCCAGCAGGTCAAAGCTGTGGTGTCCATGAACATGCCATTGCACTCCAGCCTGGGTGACAAGAGTGAAGCTCCAACTCAAAAGAAAAGAAAAGAAAAGAAACAAGACACTTCTGCTGTGAGTTCATTAGGTGGCAGAGTTTGAAACCTTTGTATTCTGAATCCAGCTATAAGGAAAGGAAAGAGGGTCAGCTAGTTTGGCCACAGCTGACCTCCCAACTCTGAAGGAAATTTCTCAAGAGGGAGCCTGTGTGTTTTTTAAATTTTTATTCTTTCGACTACTCATTTGTTTTTCAAGTTAAGTTCTCACTTGTTCAAACAGGCTGGAGTGCAGCTGCACAGTCATGACTCACCACAGCCTTGATCTTCTGGGCTCAGGAGATCCTTCTGCCTCAGCCTTCCAAGTTACTGGGACCACAGGCGTGCACCACCATGCCTGACTAATTTTTTAATTTTTTGGGGGGGGGTTGTTTGCCTTTGTAGAGTTTCACTATATTGCCCAAACCGGACTTGAACTCCTGGGCTCAGGCAGTTCTACCTCAGCCTCCCCAAATGCTGGGATAACAGACATGAGCCACTGCGCTGGGCCTGGCTAATCACTGATACCTTTCATTTATTAGCAAATACTTATTGAAAGTCTCCCTGGCTCCAGATCTTGGAGATGCTGCATGAACAAGGTCAACCAGGTCCTCACCCTGGAACCACGTCCTGGTGGGGGAGACAGAGAAAAAGCATACCCACACATGTACATGCTCCAAGAGCAGCCACAGGCCCAAGGCAGGAATGCAGGGCTGTGGGGTGGAGAAAGACCCAGCGGCAGGGAGACTGAGATGGAACCTTCTGAGAGAGGGTGGACTTAAAGATGTGGAGAAGAAGCTTCCAGACCCAGGGGAGAGGGACACGTTAGAAGAGATGAGTTAAGACCCAGGTGGCTGGGCTGGAGTCAGGAAGGGGGAGAGTGTGAGCAGATGCGGTGTGAGGGGCCGGGCCTTATCCTCCAAACTCTGGGGAGACTTCAGCTTCCTTGGGTGTGTCTAGGGTTTGTAATGGGAGAGGGTGTCATGGGATTGAATCATGCCTCCCACAACTCACATCTGCCCTGAAGCTCAGAATGTGACCTTATTTGGGGGTTCTTAATTTTTTATTTTTTTAGAGAGAGGGTCCTGCTCTGTCACCCAGGCTAGAATGCAGTGATATGATCATAGCTCACTGCAGCCTCAAAACTCCTCAGTCTCCTGAGCAGCTGGGACTACAGGACCACCATGCCTGGCTGCTTTTTAAAATGTTTTTGAGACAGGCACAGTGGCTCACGCCTATAATCCCAGCACTTTGGGAGGCAGAGACGAGAGGATTGCCTGGGTCTGGGGTTCAAGACCATCCTGGGCAACTTGGTGAGAACTCATCTTACAATAACTCAAAAAAATAGCCAAGCCTGGTGGCACGCACCTGTAGTTCCAGCTACTTGGAAGGCTAAAGCGGAAAGGAAAGAGGGTCAGCTAGTTTGGCCACAGCACTGCCTGAGCCCAGCAGATTGAGGCTGCAGCAGCCGTGAGCGTGTTGCTGCACTCCAGCATGGGCAACAGAGTGAGACTCCAATTAAAAAAAAAAAGTTTTTGTATAGATGGAGTCTTTCTATGTTGCCCAGGCTGGTCTCAAGCTCCTGGCCTCAAGCAGTGTCCCCCCACTCTGCTTTCCAAAGTGTTAGGATTATAGATGTGAACCACTGTACCCAGCCAGAATGTGACCTTGTTTGAAAATAGGGTCTTTGCAGATGTAATTAGTTAAATTAAGGGGAGGTCATACTGAATTAGGGTGGACCCTAAATCTGATGACTGATGTCCTCATAAGAAGGCCATGTGGCAGTGGAGGCAGAGAGTGGAGCCCCCCAGAAACTGGAAGAGGGAAGAAGTACTCCCATCAGAGCCTTTGGAGGGTGTGTGGCCCTGCTAGCACCAGAATTTTAGCCTTCCGGCCTTCAGACTATAAAAGATGCATTTCTGCTGTCCTGAACCCGGGATGCCCCAAGGAAATGTCTGTACCGCCTCTGAGCCACTGCAGAACGAACTGTGGGGTATAATACCCTGGGGAGTCTCTCCTCGGGGAGTGGAGGAGCTGAGGAAATGCCGTGCGCCTTCAGGGCCGATGGACCAAAGGTTGTCCCTCCCACGGGCCCTCGCTCTAGCTGGTGAATTTCCTCTTGCTGCACCCTGGCCAGGGCGGGGGTGCCCCATGACTCATGCCACCAGTTATTAAAGATCCCAGATAAACACCGTTCTGTGGTTACCTCTTCTCCGTCGGCGCCTGAGATGGCTCTCGGCTAAACTTGGTCTTCAATATTAATATGAAGAAGATACTGCCTCGAGATAGGAGCAGCGGGGAATCAGCTGTGCCCCAGGCCTGTGTTTATCAGGCGAACTGAGCCTGCAGCTGGTGGGGTGAGGGTGGGAGCCTTTCTTGTTAATTTCTCCTTTTTTTTTTTTTTTTTT